AAGTAGAAAAGCAAGTGTTTCTCTACTTTTTTCTTTTGGAAGGCAGGTGTAGATGAAAACAGTTCAGTGGGCCATGAGTTATCATTTAAACATGCAATGTGGCCTAGTATTTATGAAGTAAGGCTCACACATTTTGCAACTTGACTAGGGAAGTGAGAGAAAAAGCTGCAATTCACAAGGCAAAGAGAGAACTACAAAGATCATAAAATGCTGGCTTTTAAAATTCACAAGAAAAAGACATTAATAGATGTGTGGAGATTAAGTACAGGAAATAAGAGACAAAGTATGAAAGGATAAGATCTAGCAATAAAAAGCCAAATGGTTGGAAAGTTAAGGTAGATAACTAGCTTTGAGCCTTCATTTAATAACAACTCTTATTTCAACTCTTTGCCAATGCAATGACAAACTAAATTAAATTTAAAAATGATACATATGCATATGCAGGCTACTATCTTTACCAGACACAAGGAAATTTTTAAATTGTATAATACTGCTCTTATTTGGAAAGCAAAGTTAACTTGACAAAGATGATATTTTGTGATTTGATTCATTTCCTATGTCCTTACTAGTAGCAGAGATTAAATGGACGATAATTTAATATTTTTAAAGCTTCCTACTGGGCCAGGTGTGGCAGCACATGCCTGTAATCCTAGCACTTAAGACAGTAAGGCAGGAGAAATGCCACAAATCCGAGACCACCCTGAGTTACACCGTGAATTCAAGTCTGGTTTGAATTACAGAGTAAAAACCTGTCTCAAAAAACAAAAACAAAAAATTCTGAAAAATGAAAGTTTCTTACTACACTGTGAAAAACTGATACCTCTCTTTTCTCTTTACAACTGTCACCTCAGTTATCTAAAACAAAGTGATAAATTATTATCCCAATATACAAAAGTGATTATAAAGACAAGAGGATTATAAAGACAAGAGTACTGATTCTGTGACTTGGTGCTGACCTCTAAGGGCTATCTGAAAATTTCATTACCATGTGACCACAACTCTTTGGCCCATAACTGCCATACATATTTACAACAGGTCATGGAGAGTGCTCATAGTGAAAATTTCTACTTCAAATGCAACATAAATTACAAACTAATCAAACCTCAGAATGGGAAAATCAGAACTCTTACTACTTCCTTATTTCTGAAAATTAAAACTTAGTATTAATTCAAATGGGTATAATTGAGGATTCTAAAGCTTTTTTGTGTGTATGTGTTTGTTTTAAACTTATTTTGCAAGGTATGGCAATGTATGCCTTCTGCATAATATTTGGAAAAGTTTATTTTGATTTTATAAAGTTTTCTACTACTGCCATCATGTAAGGCCCCTGTGGCAAAACATCCAATTGCATTGAGTTTAATAACTTGAAAGGAATGCTACAACATTATTCACCGCACCTTATTATTCAGCACAGGATACAGCTTTGCACCCTTGATGGGCATTAATGTCAGAAATACTCCATGGTAAAATGTTTCATGCTAACCTTAAATTGGTTTAACAGCACAAATTCCAAGTACTTTACTCACAAAGACCTAATAATATGTTTCCAAAAGTGCCTGGGAAGAGAGAGGAAAAGTGTGCCTGGCATGTTGTTTCACAAAAACAAACATTCAAGTGTTGATAAATAATGAGGATTAAGGGCCAACCAAATAGCTCAGTGGACTAAAGCGCCTGCCAGGGACCTCCCCCTCCTCCCACCCCTGGGGAACACTGACAGGGCAACTTGAGACTGGGCGTGCTGGCGCATGCCTGTAACCCCAGCACTTGGGATGCTGAAAACAGGAGGTTCACTAGGAGCCCCATCTGTGTAGTGAGACCCTGTAGTCCCTATACTAAAAATACGTTAAAAAAAAAAAATTAAAACAGAAGAGCAAGAAAACGGATAAGGTTATATGAATTGAAGTTACATACTTAATCGTTAATTCTTCCCTGGCCTGCCATGCTGGCCCCGCCCCCAGGATGTGCTGAGACAGCAATTGAGAAGGGGTATGATGGCACACGCCTGTATTCCCAGCTCTCGGGGATGCTGTAAACAGGTGGATCACTATGACTCCAATCTAGTAGTGAGACCCTGAACACCCTGTAGCCCCTTCCCTAAAAATACAAAAAAAGAATCAAACCAGTGATCAGAGGTTGGCATAGGGAACACATCTGTAGATTGAGGGATTGTTAACTCTATTAAAAGAGCTCAATTGTCAACTTGCCTATAGCCTGGCAGCACAATGAATATATATAGCAACTATAAAAGTAGATCTTAGAACATACATACATCAGATAGCGGGCATGGTGGTGTACAACTACCATCCCAGCATTCTGAGGGCTAAGAGAGGAGGATCTCAAATTCAAGCCCAGTTTGAGCAACTGAGTGACTTAGTGAGATCCTTTCTCAAATAAAAAAAAAAAAAAAAAAAAAGAAGATCTGGGTGTGGTGCTTCATGCTTATAATCCCAGCAATCTGTAGGTTGAGGCTGGAAGATTGAAAATTAAAGCCACCTTAGGCTACATAGTGACTTGTAGGTCAGCCTGAACTTTGAATCAAGACCTAGTCTCAAAAAAAAAAAAAAAAAAAAGGGCTAGCACACTGGGGCCTGGGTTAATCCCTGGTACCACAAAAACAAAAACCACACTCATCAGCTAAATAAATTTAAAACATGTTACAATAACTTAATGTTACAATATGGAATATACTAATTTCTTATTCCAGATTTGAAATACATTTCACAAACATTTGCCTTTTAATTCAAAGGCCAAAGAATCTTCTATAATGTAACTCTTCTGTATCCAGTGATTACTTTCCCACTTGTCTTTTGCTTCAAAATAGCTAGCAACAAATTATTTTTAACAAATTATAATTACTTAAGTCATCAAATGAAATACTCTCATAGTACTACTCAATAACAACTTCTTGAGGCTACAATAACCTGTGTAAAAGAACAAATTCATTTTTGAAAAAGGCATGAGGGGGCCCAGGAGACAGCTCAGTAGAATAAGTGCTTGCCTGGCAAGCACAAGGGCCTGAGTTCAATCCCTGGTTCTGCCAAAAAAAAAAAAAAGAAAAAAAAAAAGAAAAAGGCATTAAAATAACAGTGATTAGTATTTAAATGCAACAACTACCCATGTGTCAGGCACAATGCTTTATATACGGTAATCCTCACAACTCCATAAGTTCAGCATTAACATTCCATTTTCCCAATGGAGAAACTAAACTGTGGCTCAGAAATGGGTCCACGTAGAAACGTGCTATATTACCATCAGTCTTTTCTGCATATAATACACACTGAAGAGTATCAATTGTATAACTTAACAATTAACCACCAAGTTTTGGAAACTATTACTCTGGGCAATATGTGCTATGGGTACTCCATGAGGAGCTGAGAGAACCTGCCTTCCAAAGCTATGCATTACGTTTTAAAAAATATTAATACATATCCTATTTCTTAGTTCTGAATGTATTAAGTTTGTGCTAATTATGAAACAGGGACTATCACTAAGCTAGTAATCTTCTCAGACGCCAAACAAATGATGTAACAGATAGAGCCTGAATATTTTTTCAGAACCTAAGTTTATTCAGATATGGCCCTAGCGCTTCCCTGTGAAGGCTGAGGCAGGTGGAACTGTGAGTCTGAGGTCAGCGCGGGCCACACAGTGAACTTATGGCCTGCCTGAGCTACACAGCAAGGGGTGAGGGGGTCGAGATGGTATGAGTACTCAACATCTGATGAGACTGCCCTGAAACAGCTAAATATGCCATATTTTAAAAAAACTGATGACCATCCAGTTACTCTTGCCAATTTTATTTTATTTTTTTTTCAGTAATGGGGATCAAACTCAGGACTATGCACTTGCCAGGCAGGTGCTTAAGCAGCTGAGCTATCTCCCGTGCTAACCTACTAAATATTTCATAGGTCTTACTGACTCAAAATGTTAGAAATATTGGTGCTACTTCCAGTTTGACTTTGACAATTTTTAATTACACAAATGCTCTTGTTAATCAATGACATGTAAGCCAAAAATAAAGGATTTCTTCAAAGTTACAATTAGGAAAACTGTAACCCTGAAGATGTTACTTTTTTTCCAGAAGATTTTATTAGAGCATTGTTACTTACTAAGCCTACTTAGGAAAGCATCTCTTCATCTTTACTTGGTTGATGAGCTATCCCAGGACATTCATTACACCTCAGGCATAAGAACCACAAAACAATTTTACGTTTCTTTATAAAAGTAAGCTCCAAGAACACTAATTTCTTTGAATATCACAGCCAAAAAAGGGAAAACAACAAAACTACCAAAAACTTCAAACACAAGGTGATTTAAGAGGGCAACCTACAGCTCAAGCATAATAACGCGTGTAAATCTGATCCCAGGGGACCGTCGCACTGTCATTCAACTTTCCTTTTAATGTTCTCGTTGTGCTTTTTCATGTACTACAGGCAAGATACACCTACATTTTACCAATCGGTCGGAAGGTCTCGTTTCCTTTTTGAGAATTCTCCGGAGCAAGGCCAGGGCTGCGGCCGTAGGGCGGGCAGCCAGCCCCGGACACCGGCGCCAGCCACCGTAGAGAGCAGACCCGCTCACAGCACCCGCGCTTGGCAGGCCTGCTGTGGCTGGTTACCCAGTCCCTGGGGCTGCAAGAGCAGCAGCAGCCATGGCAAGGACTCGGGAACCTTTCCCCTGCCTCCTCCGCTAGGCCTCGAGGGGTTTGCTTTTGCACATGGCCCCCGGGTGGGGGCGGTGGGCAGAAGGTAGTGGCTGCAACTGCAAGTCTGCAGCGGGCCAGGAAAGGCTGGCTCCTTCGGAACCCGACCTCCCAAAGGACTGGCAACGATGGCAGAGCCCAGGCTGGAGCACAGAGTGCTCACCGCAGAAGGCCACCTTCTCACACACATCTCTCCCCTGCTTGCCTCCAGCTCCGTTAGCGCTACCGGTTGGCGGGCGGGGGAGGGGAGCGAGGCATGTTATTCCCGGGGAGTGGAGGGGGAGGGGAGCGCATCTCTTACCCGCGTTATTGAGGAGGAGGCGGTTGTAGCGCGGCGCGACGGAGCGACGGCGGGTCTGGGTGGGTACAAGTAACAGTCTTACTAAAGGAAATTAACCCCATCACCAGCCCGGACACCGGCTCCAGCGGCAGCCGCGGCGGCAGAATCCCGCCCCTTCCCACCACGCAGTAGCCCCGCCCCTTCACTCTCTTTCAGCGGCAGCCGACTCCTTCATAGGTTGTACATCCGTGGAGTGACACCAATACTGTCCAATCACGATTGGGAAAGTGACCTCCTCTCCACCTCTTGATCTTCTCCGGGCCCGAGAGAGCCCTGCCAAATCTTGCTCCACCCTCAAGGGACAAATAACCAATCCGTGTTAAGTAACCGCCGTGAAGGACGCAAAAGGCAACCAATAGCAAAACTAGGAGGACAGCCATTTTGCCCACTTGTGAAAGAGCCACCTTTTCCCACGAGCTGGACTTTGAGGTGGGGGAGTTCCGGGAGTTTTTCCTGGCTGAAGACATTGGAAAGACTGCTGTTATGTCTTCAAAGAATATTTATAGTGTTTTATAAGGATAAAGCTAAAATTCTATCCTCCGTGTGGAGTGAAATGAGACATGCTGCTGAAGGGTTTGGCTCCTCCCTTTAGCGGTAACGGGTTCTAAACTGAACACCTGGTTTCTCCAGTCTGTGTGCCGGAGGGCGGGGGGGGGGGGGGGAGTGACTGAGCTTTTCAGCCTAAATGGACTACAATTCCCAAAGTGCTTTGCTTCCCTCCATGCCCTGTATTTGTTTGTTTGTTTGTTTGGGTTTTTTTTTTTTTTTCAAACCTTGAAGGGAATTGTAGTTTCTGGGAGGTACTCGTGTTGCCTACTTGGAAGATAAAGGCGTGACAAAGTTTGGAATGAGTGTTGGGAACTCGTGTTTTTAAGTCTGCAGTGAATCCTGTTCACCACCCTAACAGGAAAAGGGAAAGCCTACTGGTCCGGAATTTTTTCAGAACACGATAGATATTTTATATGGGGGTATTTGAACTGTTTTACTTTCAAGTCGTCTCTTGAAACGTCACTTCCGCTTAGAGGCGGACACATTGCAAACCTGTGGCGGGAGTTGGAGATTCTGCTGCGAATACACAAGGTATAGGGGTCTGGGGGTAGCGTGCAGGGCAAGTTGCGTGTAAAATAGAAAACTGAACGGAAGTTACTTAAATTTTAAGAGTGGATGAAGTGTAATGAGGCATATTCCCAACCACTAAGGCCTAAATCCCGGATTCCCATTTTCTTTGCCGTCTGCGCAGTATTAGTTTGGATGTATGTACTGATAATCGTAGATCCATTTCCTTTCTTTCTTTTTTTTTTTTTTAGTAACTCGGCCACCAAACAAGTGGCGACAAGGTGTCAACTATACTGCACTGCATTTATGGGGAAATAATTATTTTTTTAAAACGGGTGCCTACAGCCTAGGTACCTCAAGCTTAGCAAATGAGGTTCTTATTTATGCTGCTTTGAGGTGCCATATTGGCAGTGTTCCTTGTACCCACGTTCAGTTTGAGGTCCCAACTAAAACTTGAGTACAGGAGTTGCAGGAACTAGCAGAGAAAGGCCTCCTTATTTTAAACCTGGTGCCTCTCCCTTAAACTCTTCCTATCATTTTTACTGATACTGATATCACTAAAAGGTCTTATCAATAATCTTGTAAATGTTTATTGAGCTCTTACATTGTAGTAGGCCCTATACCATACTTTAAGGGGTAGAGCAGCGCCCAAAAAGATTCCTTGTCTGAAAGTAGTGAGGGAGAGGTCAACCAAAACTAATGGTAATGTTACTGGTTCTTTTAATCTTTGGCTGGATTTGGTCAAGAATTCCTTAGACATGTTTTGTGTACTTAGTGTCCTTATTCTCTTTTACTTTTAGTTTAAAATAAACACGTTACACACCAAGTGGGGTACACCTGTAATCCCAGCCCTCCACAGAGGTTAAATCAGTTTATCCCAGAATTCAAGGCCACTCTGGGCTACATAGTGAATTCAAGGCCAGCCTGAACTACATAGCAAGATCCTGCCTCCTCCAAAACACAAGTTTTTTCTCTTTCCATTAGTTTTCTGAAGTACTAATAAGTCTGTTACCAGTAGTCATGAGTGTTTACTGTAGTAAATACTAGTATAACCCTTTTAGATAAAAGGATATGATATAAATTGCAGCCATTCTACCAAAGTGGTG